ATCTGATTCTTTGACTAGATAGATGGTGTTTTTGTTAGAAAGCAATTAACACATGTCAATTAGGGAATCTCCGCGAACCAACCTTTGGTTGAATGGTTACGTGAACAGTGGTATGCACAGCCTACCAGGGGTTCACGTCCTGGTGCTCACATCTATTCTAGATTTATTTTAGGATTTTTGGCGATACACGTTCAGTGCGAGGAGACGTTCCTGTCGAGTCTCTTCCTTCCTTGCATTATAAGAGAAGGGAGGGAGGATAAAAAGGTGGACAAACCAGTGACCGTTAGTGCACGACGACGGAGGAGGCAATCCATTCTCCCCGCTTAACTGCGGCACCATCGACCAAGGCGCGACCAGCCCCCTCCCGGTGGTGACACCTCCCTGCTTTGAAATGACACATGGCGACATTGACCCGAGCCTCCTCCACAAGATACAACCATCGATTGCACAGAGGCGGTGCATGGCCGGCGACGTCGCGCAGCCTGGCTCCACTCCGACACGGAGGTGACCCGCATGACCCGCGACAAAGGAGACCCTTGGCACTGAAGACATGCTCTTGGAAAAGGGGTCACCCTCTGGCGCGGCTTTCGGCAACAAGACATCCCCAGACATAGGCGACGGCAGAAGCACGTGACTGGCGCGGGGCAAGGCCGGCGAGCACCATCGTGCCTATGTGGAGTGTCGGAGTAATGGGCCACGGGTAGGCTAACCCGAGCCCCAGGACATTTCAAGACATCGGGGCAGGCCGCGCCCCTCGGGCCGAGTCCCATGAGCGACTCCCAGATAAGCCGACTCCAAGATGGCGACTTCCAGAGAGGCCGACTATGGAGAGTCGGCCCAAGATTCCTCCCTTATCCCGAAGTACGATGCGGGGTACGGTCACGGCATGGCCGTTTCCTCCCCCTGCTTACGAAGGGCCGGCATGGCTACAGTGAGCCGTATCGCTGGAAGATCTCCGGCGAGATGCGGCACTGTTGCCATGCCTGCCCTGATCTCAGCCATAGTACGCAGTACACTGTGCCCACGACGCCGGCCTGTACGACCCGAAGGCGGTAGGGCCGCCTGTCAGTGGGTGGGCCGAAGGCGGCCTGGGCAACCCGAAGACGGACCTGTGGGAGTCGGCCTCCCTGGAGTCGGCCGACTCCTCCCGGGCCCCACGAGCCATTAATCAGATAAGATGGGAAATGGCGACAGTGATCGCCCGATAGACGGCGGCACTGTTGCCACGACCCGATGACCGAGCCTGCGTCATCAGGAGCGCCGCTACAGTATCAAGCCTGTCCGCGAGACCCGCCAGTCGGCGGGCCCCAGAAGCCGGCGAGAAGGACGGCGGCCTGAGAGACAGACGGCTGGGACCCGCGCCCAGCCGGATTACTATTGTACCCCCGGGGGGTAGGCCTATATAAACCCCCCGGGGCACCCATGCAAAGGGTTCGGACCTAGAGAGAGAGATTGACCAGATAGCCCAGGGAGGAGAGAGCTAACCTTGCCCTCTCCTACCTCCCGAAACAGCTCCAGGAGCACCATTGTAGTCACTTTGCCTTAGTGATCATGCGGAGACCCCGCAGAGCAGCAGTAGGGGTGTTATCTCCTAGGAGAGCCCTGAAGCTGGGTAAGTTCCACCGGCGTGCATGTCTTCGCCTCATCCCGCTTCCAGGCACCAGCGACGTTCTACTCGCTTCCACCATGATAAGCCATCCTTTGGCATATGTCGTATCCAACCCCCGACATTTGGCGCCCATCGTGGAGCGAGGTGCACCGTCGTCCGGAGATCTGCTCTGGACGGGAACCCTGTTCCTCCCCGGCGAGCACAGCCAGCCCGGCACACCAGACGGCGTCTGTGCCGACGCGCTGCGCGGCGCTGAGATCGCCTGTGCAGCCGGCTCCCTCGCCGATCTTGTCGGCGAGGTTTGCCTCTCCGACGAGCCTGCGCCCGACGCAGGCACGAGTGGCCCCGAGAGCCTCCTTGCGGGCCTCCTCGACCAACTCCACGTCGCCGGTGAGCCTGCCGCGGACCTGGAGTTCATAGGATCCACCGACCCGATGCTGGTCGACTCCGACACCGCGTCGCTCGACGCGTTCCCCACCAATGTGGTGGTCTACGACGAGCCGCTCTCATACGCGAGGAGCGGCGGAAGCACCATCACTGAGGTCCTCGTCCTCGAGCACGGCGAGCGCTCCGGCGAAGGAGCGCATGACCCGTTCGACGCGGCCCTGCGAGACCTTGTAGCACCGATTCCGGAAGATGCCGACGCCGGGACGCTGGAGGCGCTCCGCCTTCAGCTCATCGAGGGCGCGAAGAAGCTGGCAAGCATGAGGCGCTTGTCAGAAGCTTACCAACGAGAGATGCATCGCGCCGTAGACGGCTCGCCGGCTCCAACCGGGCCTAGCCGCCTAGGCGCGGTCCGACAGCGCGGCGCGGCAATCGCCAACCTCTTCGGGGCTGATCGCCCTGTGTACACCACGCCCGCAGAGAATATCTGTGCCGCCCAGGCGGCAGCAGACGAGCTCGACAACTTTGAAGGCGAAGAGCGCCGCATAATGACGGAGCGAGTTCAGCAGCTCCTCGACGCGGCTGCCGCGCAGAATGATGCCGGCTGCCGCACCGAGGCGCCGCAGTGCCAAAACGACGACCCACCGCCTTGCCGAGACCAAGCTGCGACGTCTCGAACGCCGACTAGCGGGGCCCGTGGGAAGAAGGACAAGGAGCCGGCTGCCAGCCGCAGTCGGACTCACATTACCATCGAGCACGACCAAGACGGCCGCCCTAGAGCGGTGGAACGGCGGGACGACTACTTGCCTCCCCCTCCTCGCAGAGAAAGACAAGTCTCCCCGCCGCCCGTGGAACATCCGATTCTCGGCGACCGCGTTGGCCACCGGGAGGGAGTCGGAGAGAACAACGCCCGCCACCGGATCGACCGACTCCACCGATCCCTGGCGCTGGAAGAAGAAGACGAGTTGGGTCCCCCCTGCTTTGGACCCCGCATCCGGGACGAGCCTTTTCCCAAAGGGTTCACGCTCCCCCGAGACACGCCCAAATATACCGGCACCGTGAGCCGGAAGATTGGCTGATCGACTACTCCACAGCCGTCATATAGCGAACGGCAACAAGCGTGTTGCCGTAAGATACGTCCCGCTCATGCTCCAGGGCTCGGCCCGGACATGGTTAAACAGTCTGAAGCCTCGCAGCATCAATAGCTGGGTCGACTTCACCGAGGCTTTCGTCCGCAACTTCATGAGCACGTACAAGCGACCTCCCAAGCCACGCCAGCTCTCCTTGTGCGTGCAAGGCCCTGACGAGT